TGGGCTTCTCCACGGATCCCTAGAAATCCCCACGTCTGAGCATCAGTGGCTTTGGGAGAGGGAGAGGAACGAGGATGAGGAAGACGAGCGTCCCCAAGAGACGCTCCACCCACAATCGCCGACGAACCCCCGAACTGTGCGGATGATCAGTTACGAGGAGGAGGAGGAGGAGGAGGAGGAGGAGGAGGAGGAGGAGGAGGAGGAGGAAGGGGAGGAGGAGGAGGAGAAGGAGGAGGAGGAGGAGGAGGAGGAGGAGCAGGAGAGGAGGAGAAGGAACACGTCATGGGGACCGACGGGAAACCCTGACATCCGACGTCACGAAAAACATGCAACATCGTTCAAAAAAACTCGGCCAGAGCCCTGGACCCCATCTTCTGCAGCATTTTTCGAGCCGTATCGATGTGTGAGGGTCCCGGGGCCCGAAGCAATGCAAAATCGCCCGTCGCGAAATTACTCCGACGGTAGGACCCCGCATGAGAATCTGTTTAGCTTACCCTTTGCCCTTTCCTCCTCCCCCTGGCGGACACCCTCCCCTCTCGCCCCCATGCACTGCCCTCTCTTCCCCCTTCTATTTCTCTTCCTCCTCCTCTTTCTCCTCCTCCTCCTCCTCCTCCTCCTCCTCCTCTTCCTCCTCCTCCTCCTCCTCCTCCTCCTCCTCCTCCTCCTCTCGCGCCACCTCCTCCTCGTCGTCGGCCTCCCCCATGCCCCTTCCCTCCTCATCCCCCTGCCTTTTCTCCATGTGCACCTCCCCTTCCCCCTCGTCGGGGCAAGCAAATCCATTTTCCTCAGCGCCGTCGCCGCCTCGGCCAGCGCCTCGGGAAGCGGGCCCCATGGGGAGGGGGCTCCCGCCTGAGACTTCCTCGCAATTCACTTACAGACGAGGCTCCCGCTCGAGACTTCCTCCATATTCAGGTCTCAAGAGCCCAAAAGTGACGACAGCTGCACGTTGTTGATGACCCGCTCGGATTACCAACATGAAATGCGGGCCCCATAAGGAGGGGGCTCCCGCCTGAGACTTCCTCGCAATTCACTTACAGAGGAGGCTCCCGTTCGAGACTTCCTCCATATTCAAGCCTCAAGAGCCCAAAAGTGACGACAGTTACACGTTTCGGATGACCCGCTCGGATTACCAACATGAAGTGCGGGCCCCATAGGGAGGGGGCTCCCGCCTGAGACTTCCTCGCAATTCACTCACAGACGAGGCTCCCGCTCGAGACTTCCTCCGTAATCAAGCCTCCAGAGCCCAAACTGACGACAGATACACGTTTCGGATGACGCGCTCGGATTCAAACATGAAGTGCGGGCCCCATAGGGAGGGGGCTCCCGCCTGAGACTTCCTCGCAATTCACCCACAGACGAGTCTCCCGCTCGAGACTTCCTCCGTATTCAAGCCTCAAGAGCCCAAAAGTGATGACAGTTGCACGTTGCGGATGACCCGCTCGGATTACCAACATGAAATGCGGGCCCCATCGGGAGGGGGTTCCCGCCTGAGACTTCCTCGCAATTCACCCACAGACGATGCTCCCGCTCGAGACTTCCTCCATATTCAAGCCTCAAGAGCCCAAAAGTGACGACAGTTACACGTTTCGGATGACCCGCTCGGATTACCAACATGAAGTGCGGGCCCCATAGGGAGGGGGCTCCCGCCTGAGACTTCCTCGCAATTCACTCACAGACGAGGCTCCCGCCTGATACACTCACAGACGAGGCTCCCGCTCGAGACTTCCTCCATATTCAGGCCTCAAGAGCCCAAAAGTGACGACAGTTACACGTTTCGGATGACCCGCTCGGATTACCAACATGAAGTGCGGGCCCCATAGGGAGGGCGCTCCCGCCTGAGACTTCCTCACAATTCACTCACAGACGAACTCCCGCCTGAGACTTCCTCCAGGTGAGTATGTGAATGAGTGAGCGTGTGACAGAGTGCGAGTGATGATGATGATGATGATGATGATGATGGTGATGATGATGATGAGTATGTGAGTGACTGAGTGTGTAAGAGAGCGCGAGTGATGATGCTGATGTTGATGATGAGAGAGTGTGAGTGAGTGTGAGTGTGAGTGAGTGGTGATGATGATGAGTGAGTGAGTGAGTGTGCGAAGGCAGAAGAGGAGAGGGGGTGGGGTGAGTGTTCCTGCGCGGGGTGTGCAGAGAAAACAAGAACCCCACTTTGGATGTGGGGAAACATGCAACGACCGGATCTCACTACCATTCCTCAGGATTTTTGATCACCACGTGGTTCCACGAAAATCCAGGCTAGACGCCTTCCCCTGGACTTGCTGTATATCCTGTCGCTGTTGACGGAAAACATAACAAAAAAAAACCCTGACGTCGCGCGTTTTTGTTGTTCCGACGCGAGGATATCACCCCCTCCCCTAAAAAACCCTCCCGATATTGGCCGAAGGTACAAGTGCTCTCTGCCAGCCGCGGTGTCAAGGTCCCGACTGCTGAATAGTGGGGCCTGGTGAGCTGTTCGAAACTGCTGGTGTGCCATTCTTTCTGCCCCCATCACCACTTCTTAGGTTCTGTCTTTGGCGGCGCGCACCATTGGGGTGGGGGGGAAAGATAGCTTCTCAGAAGGAGGCTGCTTCTTAGAAGGCGCTGGCCTCACATATATTCCTCTTCCTATATTTTTACAAGCCCGGGGGGGGGGGGAAACCCACCCCCCCGGGGGGGGGGGGAAACCCTCCCCCCCCCCAAAAAAAAAAAACTGGACCCCGGGGATCTGGGGTTCTCGGGCTCCCTTGGACGTCCTTGGAAAAGGTCACCCGGCTTTCCGGGTCTCCACAAACGCCTTGCCAGCAGACCCAGAGCGATCCGAGGGGTCATTAGAAAGGCTCAAGGGAGGCGCCAGACAGCACAAGAGCGCTCCAAGAGGGACTCCAATTGCGTCAGGACGGCCCGAAAGATAACCAAGGCACCCCAAAAAGCTTTCCAAGGGGCCTTCAAAGCACAGAAATCGTCCCATTCCCTTCGTAAAACTTACAGATATATCATATTCGCCTTTCGGATTTCATCAGCTTTCAAGACGGTTTCAAAGCCCCCGAGATCGCCTCAAGACGCCCCAAAAAGCCCCCAAGAAAGCTTCAAGACGGCCGAGCCGGGCCCCACGATCGCCCACGAGAGCCCCAAGACAGTCCATAATGGAACTAAGAGGCCCCTCAAGGGCTCCCAGCACAGACCCAAAAGGGCCATGGGAGGTCCCCGGAAGTGCCCAAGATGGGTCCAAAGGGGGCTCCAGCGGGCCCAAGCTCCCCAAGACGGCCCAAGAAGGCCCCAGGACGGCCCATGAAGGCGCCAGAACGGCCCACGAGGGCCCCGAAAACACCCCCACGATGTTTCCGAATGCCAACATAAAGACCCCCAAGGCACCCCAACAAGCTTTCCAAGGGGCCTTCAATGCACAGAAATCGCCCCATTCCCTTCGTAGAACTTACAATTTTAGCATCTTCGCCTTTCGGACTTCAACAGCTTTCACAACGGTTTCAAAGCCCCCGAGATCGCCTCAAGACGCCCCAAAAGGCCCCCTAGCAAGCTTCAAGACGGCCGAGCCGGGCCCCACGATCGCCCACGAGAGCCCCAAGACAGCCCATAATGGAACCAAGAGGCCCCCCAAGGGCTCCCAGCACAGACCCAAAAGGGCCATGGGAGGTCCCCAGAAGTGCCCAAGATGGGTCCAAAGGGGGCTCCAGCGGGCCCAAGCTCCCCAAGACGGCCCAAGAAGGCCCCAGGACGGCCCATGAAGGCGCCAGAACGGCCCACGAGGGCCCCGAAAACACCCCCACGATGTTTCCGAATGCCAACATAAAGACCCCCAAGGCACCCCAAAAAGCTTTCCAAGGGGCCTTCAAAGCACAGAAATCGCCCCATTCCCTTCGTAGAACTTAAAATTTTAGCAGATTCGCCTTTCGGACTTCATTAGCTTTCAAAACGGTTTCAAAGCCCCCCGAGATCGCCTCAAGACGCCCCAAAAGGCCCCCAAGAAAGCTTCAAGACGGCCGAGCCGGGCCCCACGATCGCCCACGAGAGCCCCAAGACAGCCCATAATGGAACCAAGAAAACCCCCAAGGGCTCCCAGCACAGACCGGACCCAAAGGGGCCATGGGAGGTCCACAGAAGTGCCCAAGATGGGTTCAAAGGGGGCTCCAGTGGGCCCAAGCTCCCCAAGACGGCCCAAGAAGGCCCCAGGACGGCCCATGAAGGCGCCAAAACGACCCACGAGGGCCCCGAAAACACCCCCACGATGTTTCCGAATGCCAGCATGCATTGATTTTGCTACCATGACATTTCACATTGTGACCCAGTCGTTGAGGGTCTCGTGGCATGCAGCGAAGATGCCCGAGGATGCCCCGTACGAGTTGCATATGTATGTCCATACCCTTACACACATAAATTTATATGTACATATGTACGCAGTATACACACATACAACAATGTACGTATATTGTACACACCTGGACATTTATACGAAACGTGCATGCACGTGTGCGTGTATACATGCATGCGCGCATGCACGCACGTACGCATTCCGCTTGCGTGCAGAACTCAAAGGACCAAGGGGCATGGCGCGCAGCGCCAATGCAGTCTTGTGTATATATGTATGTATATATGTATATATGTATATATTATTGAGAAGGCCCGAGACTTCTGATAATCAGGGGTGCTCCCAAGAACCCTTCCCCCCTCTCCCCCCACCCCCTATGCGCGTGGATGGCACTTCTTTGTTTCGCTGTTTAACCAAAATCCCGAGCCGGGGGTCCCTACGCCCTCCGGAGAGAAAAGAGGAGGACGGGGAAGAGGAGAGGGGGAGGAGGAGGAGGCGGAGGAGGAGGAGGAGGTCGAGGAGGAGGACATCCCTCTCCGCCTCCTCACGCCCCCCCCCCCTCTCGCTTCTGGAAGCGGCTTCGACCACCTCTGGAGACCCGCCCGATCTCTGGCCCACGGAAAAAACGCCCCCCCGAGAAGCCCGGCCGCCGCCCGGCACGGCACGGCCCGCCCGCCTCCCGCTCGGCGGCCGCCGCGCGCACCGCCCTCTCCGCCGCCTCGCGGGCCGCGCGCCTTTCGTCCTCTTGCGGCCCGGGGCGCGGCAGCCGCGACCGACCGACGACGACGACCGACGACCGACGATCGACGCCGACCACCACGACGGCGACCGACAGTTCACGACGACGACGGACGACGACAAGACGACGACGACGACAACAGTCGCCACCACTGCCACCACCACCACGACGACCACGTCGGCAACGACGCCCGACGACGACGACGACGACGACGACGACGGCGACGACGACGACGACTGAAGACGACAACGACGGCAACCACCGGCGGCGACGACGCGAGACGCCCCGCGCCCGCCGAGACGCGCCCGTCCGCTCCCCAAAGAAGAACACCAGGGGGCCGCCGAAGGGCGGCCGTGGGCTGGGAAGCCGGTCCCAAATCACAGGAACGCCTCGAGCCCCAAAACGAACTCTTGCTTTTCCCAGGCACCACCGAATAGTATTTCACCTCGATCGTTCAAAGAGGGTTTTTTTGCGTCGGCCAGAGCAGTACCTCATATCCCGAGGGCCCTTGGTGCCTTGGGGCCCCACAGCGAAAGAAATGGACAGGGAATCTCGCCAGATATTCGCGGCCTGCGAGCCACAGCCGCCAGGCCGCCAGGACTGCAGCAGTAAGGGCTCTGGCGAGAACTCGCAGAAACAATATCCTGTTGCGCACCCAACCAATCTGCATCAAATGTCACGAGTTGTTGGTCCAAAGTGGTATGGCTGATCACAACACAGGATCTGTCATCGGTTGTGCAAGCTACATGGCAAGAGCGCGCGCTGCACCACTAACAGGGCAGCGACAAAAAGACGAGGACTGATGCCCAAGGCCGCAAAAAGGAAGGGGAGTGTGAATGGGGGGCAAGAGAAGGACGGAACAGGGGATGAACAGTCATCGTGATAGCAGCACGGAGACAATTTAAGGAGGAGACGGGCGAGAACAAAAGAGCGTCGTGCGTCGTGCGTCGTCATCGCTGCAGGATGGGCGGGGGGGATCCGGACCCCCCCCCAATGAATGTCCTGAGGGGGGCGGGGATCCGGACCCCCCCACTAATTTTTACTCTACTGTACTTGATCCTACTCTACTCCACTCTACTCTGACATGCCCTACTCTACTCACATCTGCTCTACTCTACTATACTTCGGCGCCGCACTACCCATCTACCATTCCCTACTAAACTGCTCTTCTACCTTATCTGATCAGCACCTCCCTACTTCACTGGACTAAACTCTGCCCTACTCTGCCCCAACCCTACCATATCCAACCCTACTCTACTCGACTCTACTTTACCCTCTACTCTACTCCTATTATACTCTACTCTTCGCCTAATCTACTCTCCTCGTCGTCGTCATCGTCGTCGTCGCCTTTGTCCTCGTCGTCGTCGTTGTCGTCGGCGGCGGCGTCGGCGTCGGCGTCGGCGTCGGCGCCGTTGCCGTAGTCGTCGTCGTCGTCGTCGTCGTCGTCGTCGTCGTCGTCGTCGTCGTCGTCGTCGTCGTCGTCGTCGTCGTCGTCGTCGTCGTCGTCGTCGTCGTCGTCGTCATCGTCGTCATCGTCGTCGTCGTCGTCGTCGTCGTGCGTCGTGCATCGTGCGTCGTCGTCGTCGTTGCCCCGGGTGGGAGGCGGGGGGTCTGGACCACCCCCCTTAACGTGGGGGGGGTCCGGAACTCCCTGTTTTTGTGGGGTGCTTGAACTACCGCCGTATCCCACCTTACTCTACTCGACTCTACTCTATCCTCTGCTCTACTCCTACTATACTCTACTCTTCACCTACTCTACTCTACTCGTCGTCGTCTTTGTCGTCGTCCTCTTCATCGTCTTTGTCGTCGTCGTTGTCGTCGTCGGCGTCGGCGTCGTTTTCGACGTCGACGTCGACGCCGTCGTTGTCGTCGTCGTCGTCGTCGTCCGCGTCGGCGTCGGCGTCGACGTTGGCATCGGCGTCGTCGTCGTAGTCCTGGACGTCTTCGTCTTCGTGCGTCGTGCGTCGTTTGTCGCCGTCGGTGTCGTTGCCAGGTGGGCGGGTGGGTGTCTGGACCCCCCAATGATTTTCCCAGGGGTGGGGCGGGGGTCCGGACCCCCCTCGAATTTCTACTCTACACTACTTTGCTCCTACTCTACGCCACTCTACTCTACTCCTGCTCTAGTATTTACTCTGCTTTTCTCTTCTCTACTATTTTACGGCGCCGCTCTACCCATCTAATCTTCTCTACTCGACTCCTTCTCTACCGAATATGATCCACGCCACATTACTCTATTCGACTAAAGTCTACCCTACTCTACTCCAACCCTACGGTATCCCACCATACTCTACTCGACTCTACCCTACCTACTCTACTCCTATCATATTTCAATATTCGCCTACTCTACGCTGCTCGTCTTCATCGTCGTCGTCGTCTCGTCGTTGTCCTCGTCCTCGTCCTCGTCATCGTCGTCGGCGTCGGCGTGGTAATTAGTCGTCGACGTCGTCGGCGTGCGTCGTGCGTCGTGCGTCATGCGTCGTGCGTCGTCGTTGTCGTCGTCGTCGTCGTTGCCGGGTGGACGAGGGGGTCTGGACACCCCCACTGATTATCTTAGGGGGAGGGGGGAAGATCACCTCACTTATTTTGCCGGGGAAGGGGTCTGGGCACCCCCAACAATTTTCCTCGGGGAAGGGGGGTCAGACTTCTCCCCCCTTATGTTTTTTTGGGGGGCTGAACACCCCCCACTGCCAACAGCCTCAGAGAGCGCTGTTTCAAAGTGGCCGAGGTGTTCGGCATGCGCACATTCCCTTTGTTCGAATTTCCATGGTGGCGGCGGGCTTCAATCAGCGGGCGGTGGTCTATCGCCGTGAAGACAGAAACAAGGTTTGGGCCAACAGCAACGATGATGCCGCCAGTGCCGATGCTGTCGGGGAAGGACGAGAACCAGAACCACAGGTATCGGGTAGCATCTGAAGCGAGAGGCGATCTGTGTCCCCTGGGTGTCCACGGGCTTCCCAGGTAGCAACAATACCTTGGGACCAACAGAGCTGTCCAAGACAACTCATCTTTGGACAGCGCGATCTTGTCGACAAGAGTGAACCGACCTGATCAGCTCTCCAGCATTCCACGAGCAAAGACAGAAGGCTGGTGCACAACATGCAGAAGCAGCGTCTAGATGCGGTCACTGCGTCGCAGCGAGCAAGTCGCACCGTAAAGGTCGTGCGACATGTCGTAAAACTCGTACCATAAAAGTCGTACCATTAAAATAACATCAGAAAGGCACTCAACACACACTCACACACACACACGCACATGCACTGTTCCTCCCAACCGCAGCAAAACACACAGTGCCCACCGACGCCCTATCCCTAGGAGACGAAACAGCTGCGTAAACCTAAACTTGCGGAGGTCCACGCGGATCGGCGTTGGGCCCCCCTCGGCGCAGGAGGCACCGCCATGGGAGCCAAAACGCCGATCCAATGCATCCTCACGGAACTCCAACAGTATACGTTTATGCCCGTTGTTCCTTCTTCGAATCTTGACTTCGCCGCCCGACGCAGCTGCCCATATGTACAGGTGTCACTGCGGCCCAACGAAAACAGACCGCCACGCGGGCAGACCAGCTGGGCTGCGGCGGCCTAGCGGAAAGCTTTCGCGCGCCCTAGCGCAGAAGGACGGCACCGAGGCATCCCAAGCGCCCTGAACGCCGCAAACCGCCCAGAGCCTTAAAAAGTTGACCCCGACCAAACCGCCGGGTCGCTGGAGGCGGCTCCTGATTACTTCGTATGCTTGGGGTGGCATGTGCTTCTGCCAGCCTCTCTGGATATAACTGGGATGTTTAGATGATCGTTTCTGGGAACCTTCCTGGAGCCACTTGCTCCACTCGTGAGTCGATGCCGGCTCGAATGTCCATCGACTTGAATCTAGCTTGAGAGGACCTTGAGATGAACAGAAATCGAACAGAGGAAGAGATCCGTCAGGTGGACCCCAGGAAGGTCCCCCAAAACGAGCATCTAAGGGATGTGCTCTGGGACCACGCCGAACAGGGTGGCGCCCAGCGAATATGCCACACAGAGCGCGTTTGCCAGCAGCACCAGCTCCGCCCCTGGCAACAGCGTGGGCTGTGCCGCCTCCGGGACGTAGACGGCCTCTTCGCCGGCGAGACATGTCTGAAGCCACACGACCAACCAGGACAGGGCGAACGCACTGAAGTTCAGTAGCTGGAGGATGTCCGCTACCGCGCTTGCAACGGATGGTGCGTGTCGGGCCATTGCTTGTACCGTTGCTGTCACTCCTTGCGAAGCCCCCGGCGCATCCAGCCCAATATGCGGTCATTTTGTTGACCAGCACTCTGCGTGCTTTGCATTTCCATTGAGAGAATGTCCCCAAATCAAAAAAAAACTGTGACGGGGTCGGTGGCACCTACACCCCCCAGTGCTCGCCCAGTCCCTCCGCTCTGCTCCACTCTCCATGGCGTCCCCAAAAGAATCCCACGAAAGCCGAGATGGCCCCAGATGACCTCGAAGACGGCAAAAATGACGGCCTCCAAATCGAATAAGATGGCCCTATACGGCCTCCATGGCGGTGCAAGATAGCCTCAAAGACGGTCGAGATGGTCCCAAGACGCTCCAAGATGCCCCCAAGACGCCCCAAGAGGCCTCCAAGAGGAGCTCAGGAGGGCCCGACGATGTCCAAATCAATGGTTGTCTGTAGGTTTGCGACTGGTTTTAACATTCACGCTTGTTCAGGCTTCCGACAGCCCCAGACGGTCGAAGAAGCCTCCAGGATGGCCCCAGAATGGTCCAAGGGGCACCCAAGAGGGCCCCAAGATGGCCCCAAGCTAGCCCAAATGGCTCTCGAGGCGGCCAAACATAGCCCCAATACGACCCAAGAGAGCTCCAATGCGGCGATGGAGCAACCCAAGACGTCCCCAAGACCCCGGAGAGACCCTAGAGACGGCCTCCGAAGGTGCCAGACAAGCCAAGAGCGCTCCAAGATCGGGCGTTGGCGGGACTGGGTTCAGTTGGACCTGTTTTAGTGATGTGCACTAGGGGGCGACCCCCGCCCCATTCCACGAACTTGAACTGCCGCCACCCGGAGAAACATCAGCTATGCCAGACTTGCCTCAATGGTTCTTGCAATGTTGGGAAGCTTCGGGGCCTTATCACTAACCGGCTCCCCTTACCCCGGGTCCTGGCTATACTGGACAAGAGGCCCCCGCGAGGCCCCGAGACCTCCAAGAGGCCCCCAAGAAGCGTCCAGGCGGCTCCCCCAAGGTGCCCGCCAGAGCGCGGTGGCGGAATCGCGCGGCAGCATCACTGGATAAGCCTGGTTCAAATTGAATCGCAGCAGCAGAGGCAGCCGCCGCCTTATGGAGATCACTGGCATCATGAAGAACAGCACTGGCGCCGCCAGCTCCCACGCATCCAGGGAGCCCGCGGGCAGCTCCCAACCGAGGGGGGCCAAGGCTGCCAGGTGGTGCTGGGCGACCGCGCAGCCATACATCCGAACGCTGTCGAGAGCTGGCAGGGCGTACGGCAAGACGGCCAGCAGCCGAACTGGCCAGCCGGTGTCGTTGTTCTGCCAGCGCGCGGCGCTCCGCCGCCTCTCGCGCCTGGCCCGCGCCTCCGCCCTCCTCTCGGAAGCTGGGCGAGGGCTGCTAAAACCGTGGCTGCCAAAACGGCCCTCCCGGAAGGAAAAAGCAACTTCCCGGAATGAGGCGCGGCGCGCGAAACAATCAACGGGCTTCTTCCCGGAAGGACGAAGACAACTTCCCGGAGGTCGATTTTAGCAGTCACGGATTTAGCAGCCCTTGCCCGGCTTCCGATCCTCTCTCGGAGCTGCCTCTCGCGCAGCTGCCTGCGGCGCTGCGCCGCCTCCGCCTCCTCGGCCCTGGCCTGGTCCCACGCCGCCAGGGCCGCGACGGCCTGCGCGAAGGCGGCGGCCTCCAGGTACCGATGCCGCTGCTCCACGGACCTCTCCCAGCGTGCGTTCTGGCCAGACCCTCGGGGATAATCCAGCCGCGGCGACGAGGGCTCTCCAGGACGAGCAGCGATTATCGGCACCTGTCCCTCCCCTGAGCCTCCGCCTCCGAGCTCAGCTGGAACCGCCCGTCATGGCCCCTGAGGCCGTGCGCGCGCATGACGCGCCCAGTCTGCTCCGCGGTAGCCTCGATCCCCAGGAGGTCCCGCAGCGCGTCGCGCACCCGCGCGGCCGTCGCGCCCGCGCCCGCCGAGGCCTGGAGGCGGCGGAGCGCTCGCTGGTGGCGTGCGGCCCGTTCCTGCCTCAGCTCCGCCTCCAGCTCCTGCAGGAGGCTTGGAAACTGGCACCAACACCATCTGAGGAAGATGCTCCCACCTGGAGAAAACTATTCAACAAATTTGGCGTCGGTGGCAACATTTGGCCACCTCAGGAGGTCCGAGGTCGACCACCGTCACCGAGATCCGGCCGACATTTGGGCCCCCGATCCTGGGCCTCCCACCTCGCTTGGGCGGCGCGAAGCTGCAGCGCCCGCGCATCGCCTGGCGCGCACGCCAGCATTTCGCGCCCCGCCCCGCCCGGCGCGGCCGCCTGGCGGCGGCCGCGGTCCGCCGCCCGCCGCTGCGAGGCCGCAGCGGCAGCGGCGCGCGCGCCGAACGCCGCCGCCGCCCCGGCGGCGGCGACCGCATCGCCGTGCGGCTTCCCGCGCGCAGCGGCGCCTGCAGCGCGCGCCCAAGGGCGCGGCGGCGACCTCGGCTGCCCGCCCGCCGTCCCTGGGGCAACGCGCCGCGGCACGGCCGGCGGCCCGCAGCGCGCGAGCATGGCGGCCGCAGTTCAGCTGCCGCCCCGCCTTCGGGCACCGCCCGCCCGCGCCGAGGGGATCCCGTCACGGTTCGGTGGCAAATCGTGCGGCCGTGCGGTGACCTCGGAATCCCCAAACCGCACGGACCGTCACCGCACGGTAATGGGACCCTGGAAGCCCCTGTCGCCCGAAACGCCCCGATGAACGTCCCAAGTGCCAAAACCGCACGGCCATCCCGAACCCCCCCACTGATTCACCGCACTGTGTGGTCACCGCACCCGTGGGGGGCCCCCGACGAGTGCACGGCAACGCGCGTCAAGAGGAGGTCGCGCGCTATGGGGTCCGAGGCGGCTTGAGCCCCAAATGCTGGTTTGCGGACTCGCCCACGGCCTCACTTTCCAGCCTCGCACGCCGCCGACGATCCCACACTCCGCACTTTCATCCGCGATTGCAGGGGACTGCGGGGGTTGCATAACGTCCCGCCCCCCGCGGGGGAGTGTTTCCGACCGTCGCGGAGGGGAGCGTTCCGTAAGTTCTTCGGGGTCACGTTACAAAAAATCGTCCTGGGATCCTTCATGGCGGCACCACTCATACGCCGGTGCTGCATTGAACGTTCGTCGTCGAACTTGGGCCAGGCGAGAAACGAACTGGAGGATAATGTTAGGCACCGTGGGCCCCAAACGATGTGTTTCTCGCCGTATATGGTATGCAACATACGTGGGACAACCTGCGTGGCGCAATTCACTTTGCAGAACTTGAAATTGTCAACCCCACTGATCGCGCATTCATCCCATGCACACCCGTCACTTCTCTTGCAAAGCCCAAGCTGCGGCGATTGCGATGACTGCTTGGCGCTGGCTGACACATCGCTGCGGCGGCGCTAGCGCGCGCAGGCTCGCGCGCAAAGCGGCCAGCTAGTCTTGGGCGACCGCCGCCGCGACGGCGCAGACCGCTGAGCACTGCTCAGAGCGCCTCACAAGCTGCGCTGACACGCGGGCATTTCTGTGCGAGTCGGTGGCTCGGGCGGGCGCGGTATCATTTCGACGTCGACAACGGTTGGCACGATGATGATAGTAACGATGCTGGTGGCGCTGTTGACAGTGACGACGGCAAGGCCAATGACAGCGCCGGTGTTGAACACGCCGGTGTGAATGATGGTGTCCGCGTGTTGGTGATGGAAGCAGTTCGACATGCGCGAGCGCCCAACGCGGGAAAGTGACCAACATGGTATTCGTTGGCAAGGATCGCCCCTCCCCCCAACACGCGCGCAAAGGTGTCGAATGATTACGACACGCGCGCGCGACAGGCCTGTTTGGTCGCATGTGATAGAAAGGTTGAAAAAAACGTCGGTGTTCCGTAGACTTCGCAAAAGTGCGCGCGCTGACTTTTTGTAAGCTCGCATTGCAAAACCAATGGTGTTTAACATGTTGTCGGGACATTCCATGTTGAATCCCTCACGAAACCAGATGTGTTTGAAGGATTCCGGATTGCGCGCGGGACGACGCGCGCGTGTGGAAATTGATTCTGTCTGCGGCAACGGATTGTTGAAACTCCGCCGATCCGGCGCGCAAGTTTCGGAGAGCGTGGACTTGAGTTCGCTCAGGCTTCGCTCTGCAAGGGGGGGGGAGGGGGGACGCCATTCCCGACGCATTTAGTGCTCGGGGGCGGGAGCGCCCACACCATTAAGGGGGGAGGGGGGGGGGAGGGGGAACGCGATTCCCGACGCCATTCCCGACGCATTTAATGCTCGGGGGCGGGGAGCCCGCACCATGAAGGGAGGGGGAGGGGGAGGACGCCATTCCCGACGCCATTCCCGGCGCATTTGGTGCTCGGGGGCTGGGGGGACCACACCAGTCCCGACGCCGTTCCGACGTTTTGACCATGGAGGGGGAAGGCGGCATCCAAAACGCCCCAAGAGGTACCCAACCACCTGCGAATATAAACCCACGAGGTCCAAATCGTCCAGTTCCTAAAGGAAGACGTGCATGTTTACCTTCTACGACATTTCGGTCTTAGCGACGCTGCCGACGGTCCCAGAGGCCCCCGAGACCGCGTCAAGACTGCTCAAGAAGCTCCCATGACGACCTAAAACGCTCCCAAAAGGCACTCAGACGGCCCAAGAAGCGCCCAAACCGGCCCAAGAAGGCCTCAAGAGAAGCTCAAGAGGGGGAGCCCGAACCGACAATCCCAGCCTTTCCCCTCACGAGGTTCTCAAGAGGCAAGAGGCTCCAAGAAGCCCCCCAAACGCCCCAACAGGCCCCCCAAAAGCCCCCAGGAGGCGGCCCCAGAAGGCGCCTAAAAGGCTGAAGGAGGCCCCAAGAGGCCCCAAAACGACACCCAAGAGGCTTTCCCGGCTTCCCCCCCTGGTCTCTTGCTCAACCCACTGAACCTCAACCCTCAAGCCTGAGGGTTCTTAGTGGGCCCAGACCCGAAGCTCTCAAATCCCACCAGCCCTCTGGGCGTCGGTGGTTTAGGGAATCCCACCAGCCCTTTAGGGCGTGAGTGGTTTAGAGAGCCCCCTCTGTCCTCAACCCCCCTTCTTCCCCTTCGGGGAGGGGTTTACCCCTCCCCCTACCCCCTCCCCCTGGGCCTGGAGAGGGCGCCCCGCGGGTGGTTGGAGGGGTCTTCTTCGACTCCTGGGAGGGCCAAAAAACGACGACCCTCACGAGGATTCTGGCCCCGTCGGGGGGGCCCAGAAAAAAACCTCTCCTCTTCTGTGAAGCCAGAATCCTTGTTTTTACGAGGGTTTTGGCCCCATTTTGGCCTCCCGAGGGGGCCGCGCTCATCTTCCTTCATAGCAAAATCATTGATTCTACAACGGTTTTGGGTTGATTTTGTCCTTCTCAGGGGGCAGCGCTTCTTTGCGCTTCTGAGGAGGTCGCAAGAGGCCCCAAGATGGCCCCAAGAGGCCCCCAGGAGCCTCCCAAGAGGCCTCCAAGAGGCCCCCAAGAGGCCCCCAAGAGGCCCCAAGAGGCCCCCAAGAGGCCCCCAAGAGGCCCCCAAGAGGCCCCCAAGAGGCCCCCAGAGGCCCCAGAGGCCCCCAAGAGGCCCCCAAGAGGCCCCCAAGAGGCCCCAAGAGGCTCCAAGAGGCCCCCAAGAGGCCCCACGAGGAGCCCGAACGACTCACACCAGGACGAGGGGCCCGAACGACTCACACCACGAAGAGCCCGAACGACTCACACCACAAGGAGGGGCCCGAACGACTCACACCAGGACGAGGCGCCCGAACGACTCACACCACGAGGAGCCCGAACGACTCACACCACGACGCGGGCCCCGAACGACTCACACCACGAGGAGCCCGAACGAGTCACACCAGGAGGAGGGGCCCGAACGACTCACACACCCGGACTGAGCCCGAACGACTCACACCAGGACGAAGAGCCCGAACGACTCACACCACGAAGAGCCCGAACGACTCACACCAGGAAGAAGGGCCCGAACGACTCACACCAGGACGAGAAACCCCAAACGACTCAAATCACGAGGAGCGCTTTCTCTCCCTCCTCCTCCGCCTCGTCCTTCTCCCGCTCCCCCCACAAGGAGGATGTACAAGGAGGCGGGAGGAAGGAGGAACAGGGGAGATATGCGGGGCCAAACGGACACACGCCTGAAAAACACGACTGTCGCCATGCTTCGCATGAGTTGCTGTTGTGAGATGGGCTGGTGGGGATACGCGAAGCGTAAAGAATTTGTTTTTCCGCCCCTCCTTCTTCCCCTTCGGGGAAGGTTTTATCACTGTTCCCTATGAATATAAACCCCGTCCCCCGGACGACTGGGAGCCAACCCAGGTTCATGCGCCCCCCCCCCACCATCTCTTCAAAAAAACTATGCGAAACACACTCTGTCCCCACCATCCCTGGTAAAAACACATACAAAACACAATCTGCCTCCAAATTCGGAGCATGCGCAGCGAACCCGATGCGGCCTCCCCCCACCATCCCTGTCAAAAACAATACAGAGTACACTTGGCGGCGGCGGCGGCTGCGGCGGCTGCGGCGGGGGCAGCGGCTCCGGCGGCTGCCAGGCTGCGGCGGGGGCGGCGACGACGGCGGCGGCGGCGGGGGCGGCGGCGGCGCAGACTGCGGCGGCGGCAGCGGCGGCAGCGGTGGCGGCAGCGACTGCGGCGGCAGCGGCTGCGGCGGCGGCGATTCGGCAGCGGGGGCGGCGGCGGCGGCGGCGGCGGGCGGCGCGGCGGCGGCGGACAGCGGCGGCGGCGGCGGCTGCGGCGGCGGCGGCCGCGGCGGCGGCGGCGGAAGCGGCGGCGGCGGCGGAGGCGGATGCGTCCCCAGTAGCTGCCCATCCAAAGACGACTGCTGCATATGCTGCGGCTCGGGCCAGGCTCGGGTGCTACGTATGTGTTGGGAGGGCGGGTGGGAGTGAGCGGGGCGGCTTGCGGGCGGGGAGGGAGACTCTTGACCCCTCCCCCTACCCCATCCCCATGGACCTGGACGGAAGGTTTCGCGAGGTGCCGGAGCGTCCTAAACGGCCTCGGCGAGGAAGCCAAAATCATTGGTTTACCAGGGTTTGGGCCCCATGTTGGCCTCTTGGGGGGGGACCCTAATTAATGCTTCCCTCTTGTTTGCTCGATCTCCTCCAAGATGACCCCAAGAAGCGCCCAGGAGGCCCCCAGACGTCCCAAAATGGCCCCAAGAAGCCCCCAAGAGGCCCCGAGGCCCCCAAGAGACCCCCAAGAGGCCCCAAGAGACCCTCCAGAGGCACCCAAGATGCTCCAAGAGGCCTCGGCGACAATGCCAAATCATTGATTTCTACGAAGGTTTTAGCCACATGTTGGCCTCTTGGGGGGGCACTGATTAAGATGACTCCAAGAGCGCATGCGAGAGCCCAAAATGACCTCCAAGATGGCACCAGATATCCCAAGATGTCTCCTAATGGCTTCCTCTGTGTGCTGCCCACTTCCCTGATCGAGGCAATTCCTCTGGGCATCGTTTCTGGATGGATTGGTGGGGATTCGCGAAACGTCAACAATTTCTTGGGGTTCCCCGCGCGCCCTCTGGGGACCCCAGAATGTTCCCGCGTGAACTTCTCGAGCCCAAGAGAGGCCCAAGACGGGCCAACAGAGCCCAAAGAGAGAAAGCCCCGAATCACCGAACGATCGGTCCAAGACGCCCAAGATGGTCCCATGGCCATGGCCATGATAAACATCATCATCATCATCATCATCATCATCATCATCAGCATCATCATCATCATCATCATCATCATCATCATCATCATCATCATCATCATCATCATCATCATCATCATCATCATCATCATCATCATCATCATCATCATCATCATCATCATCATAAGCATCATCATCATGATCAACATCACCATCGCCATCACTATCATCATCATAATGATCATCCAGAACGCCCCAGATCGGCGGCACTGGCCGGAGGCCAGCACAATAAATGATTCATGATTTGTGATACGGAAACCACAGTGCGCGTTTCATACTATTGGACAAGGGGGGGAACCCGGTTTGGCTAGGATGATACGAGTTCAAATTTCGAATAAACGATGGGGCAGAAACGTCGGTAAATTGAGCGATCCCAGGGGGCGATAAGACCGGGGGGGAAGGGGGGTAGAACCTGATTCCTTTCTGGGCAAGAGGATCAACGTGGTGCAGTATACGTTGTGCACTCTATGTTGTGCAGTATACGCGGTGCGCAATCTAGATGTTACAGAATGTACGTGGTGCGATTCAACTTCCTGAACTTGAAATTGCCAACTCCACCGCTCGCGCAACCATCCCACCTACCCGCCCGCAACTTTGTTTGCACAACCCATGCGACGGCGATTGCGATGGCTGCTTGGCGCTGGCTGGCTCAAGGCTGAAGAAGCGGTAGCGCGCGCAGGCTCGAGCGCAGAGCGGCCAGCTGCTCTTGCGCGACCATTGCAGCCGCGATGGCGCGGACCGCGGGGCACTTCCCAGCGCGTCCCGCACGCCGCGCTGAAGCACGGGAACTTCATCCAGAGATCCCAGGGCCCAAGACGTCCAAAAGACTTTGTTATCCGATCTTCTACCCCCGCCCCCTGCCCCCCTTCTCTCCACGGGGGCCGGCGCATCCCTGGGCAGACCTTCCTCCCTCCAGAATAGGACTCCAGGACCTGTGGACATTTCCGAGGGCCCTGCAAGATCCCTGGAGACGGGGAGAGGGGGGACCGAGGCGGGGACGAGGGGAAGAGAAACGAAGGGGAAATCTTGACGGCTTTCGCTTTTGTTGATCATAATTTTCGCGGAGGGGGACCCACGTCGCCACGGCCCGATCCGACTCGCATCGATGGACAGGGCGCGGCCCAGGAGAGGTCCAGGGCTCGACTCTGGCAAGCGTGCGTGGACATGGGCAGCGCGAGCGGTGGCGTGCGAAAAAACCACGTCGGGCACTCATGTCTTCTCTCGCTGCAATAAAAAAGAGGTGACCTTCGAAGGCCTTCTTCTTCTTCTTCGGTCCCGGGCACACGCAACAACAAACACCTGCGACGATGAAGCGGTCCAGGGGTGGCGGTCGCAGACGTCAAGTTTCTGTGCCCCCCAGACCTCTCCGCCCCTCCTTTGGGACCAGGCTTTCGTCCCGGATCATTTTTTGGTGGTCGCTCGGCCCGAACAAGGCGACTGAAGACGGATGATCAGGAGAAGTGCGCATAATCTCTGAGATCCGAAATCACAAATAACTCACACCATCGTAACAAAACAACCGACTGGAGCTCCGGACCTGGTCTTTCCGCGGCATGTTTCGAGCCGGATCGATCCGTGAGCAGATAAGCTACGACGCCAAAATCTCAGGGCGAAAAACAGTTACGTCGGAGATCGTGGGTCGAGAACTCGGGGGCCTGCGTCGTAAAAGCGCACGATGGTCGAAGTCTGGGCCGTCCTGGGACGGCCTGGTGATCGGCTGGACGCTGCGCTAAGTCGCCGCCTTCCCGCGCGAGTTTTGGTTTCCCCTGCCGCCTCCGCTCACAATCCGCACCGCGCCTTGAACGTGTCCATATCCACCAATCTGGAGGCGTGACTTAGATATTCGTTTTGGGGGCTTGCATGGGGCCGCCTGACGGATCTATTCGACTCCAGTTTGAATCCAGTTTGACTCGACTTCTCCAAACGGTGTTGCACTTAGTTTTTTTATATATATATATATATATATACATTATATATATGTATATATATATATATAAATAAAAAAAAAAAGCCTGCCCGTGGGACTGGCGGTTGCATGATCGCCGTCGTCGCCACGTCGCCGCCTAGATTGCACCACGTCGGTTGTACCACATAGGTTCTCCTTTTTCAAAACAGAATAAAACTCGACCCCCCCACCCGAGATTATCCCCACCCCTTTTTCGTATTGCAATTTACCTACGATTCTGCCCCATCGTCCGTCCAAAATATGAGCTCATACCATCCCAGCCGGGCCAGTATCGACCCCCCCCCGACGTCCTTTGCAAACCAAATATGCGCTAGCATTCGTTTATGAACAATCAAAAATGTTCAAGAATCGCTTGCATAAACCAAAAACGGAACGGAGTGCGCACATGGCCAAGGGGGGCAGGGCGCGTGGACGAGGCGAGGCGAGCGGGAGGGGCTGGGGAGGAGGAGAAGCAGGAACGAGGGAGGACGAGTCTCCCCTCACGGAGAAAGGAGGACGAGGGAGAGAGGGGAGAGGAAGAGGAACATTGAGGGGGCGGAGGAGAGGAAGCAGGGTGGAAGGGGAGAAGGGGGAGGAGGAAGAGGAGGAGAGAGGGGGAGAAAGAAGGAGGCGGAGGAAGGGAGGAGCAAGAGGGAGGACGAGGAATGAAGAGGGAGGAGAAGGAAGAGGAGGAGGAGCAGCAGCAGCAGCAGGAGAGAGGAGCCGTAGTTACAGGAGCAGGATCAGGAAGGAGGCGGGAGAAAGAGGAGGAAAGGGAGAAGGATGGGGAAGAAGCCGACGACGACGACCCCGACGACGGCGGCGGTGAGGACGGCAGTCCCCAGAGGTTCCGTGTGGGGACCTGGAGGGTTGAAAAACAGATCGTCCCGAAACCTCGACCATCGATGCTCCAGGGTTCGGCGGCTTGGGAGAATTCTTTTTCACGAAGGCGCCTCCCGAGACCCCCAACAAAACAGCCAAAAATATCGACCCCCAAAACAAGATCGCCGATCCTCGACGACGACCGCGGGACAAGTTGTTCATCACGGTTCGTTCTCTGATGGCACCGAGGCCCGAGACGGCTCCTCAGAAATCTAAACTAAGCAAACACTTGCTGACTTGTTCATGACCCAGACGGCGGCAGCGACGGCGAACGACGCACCACGTCCCCGAAACGAATCTCGAACCTCGACCATCGACGACGACAACGGCAACGACGACGCCAACGGCGACGAGGACGCCGACGTCGACGAGGACGCCGACTGCGACGAGGATGACTCAGGCATTCTCCATCGCGTTTTTTTTTTAACGAGGACCCCCAGAGGTCTAGCTCCTTCCCTGGGACTGGCCTTACTGAAAGGGCCCAGGGACACCAATAAATACACACAGATTCTAGGACTCCCTATTTCCGCACATTTTCTTTGTTTTCGTCTTCCCCCCCCCACTTCCCATATTTTCCTTCATTTTTCAGAACATCGAGGATTATGTTTTTCTGTGTGTTCTTGTTCCCTCCAGATTTATATCCGAATTCTTTTTTTGACAGTCCCGAGGCCCGAAGAAGGCCCCCGCAGACCGAAGCTGTACAACAACCCTCCGTCGTGATCTTCTTCCGCAACTGGTGGATTTCAGGGGAGTGCGACGATGGCGACGATGACAACGGCTGAAAGGACCAAAAATAAGACGAAGCCAGGACGACGGTAAATTCGGGTGAGGATAACTCGAGAATCCCCGAGATCCGGCGGCTCTGGAAAACGTCTCGGGCGCCGAGACCTTCTCAGCTCCCGGAACGCTCTTGGAGCGTTCCAGAACGCTCTGGAACGGATTTAGCCTCGTCGTGGCCCCGTCCGGACCCGATGCTGCTACTCCCCGGACCTCTCCAGGGGTGCGTTCTGACCAGAACCTGGGGGCGAACCCAGCCGTCGCGACGAGGGACGGGTGGTGGTATCGGCATTCCTTCCTCTTCTGAACGGCAGCGACGAGGCCGGAAACGGGGCAAAACCGAGCGTCGTGACCTGTTATCCACAACTGGACGTCGGGAGAGGACGAGGGCGGCGACGAGGACGACGACGCCGACGCCGCCAGCGACAAGGATGACAGCAAGCGGCGACGCCGACGGCGACGGCATCGAAGACGACGACGAGGACGGCGAAGCGGACGACGCCGACGACGGCCGAGGGTCGCGGAAGGAGCAGAAGGAGGAGGAGACTCCTGGGCCCTTGCAGCGGCGGCCGCCTCAGCGGCCTCCGCCGCCCTCGCGGCGGCCGCCACCTCGGCCTCGCGCAGCTTCTGGGCCTGCGC